TTTTTATTGCGAAATGACGTGATACACTGCCCAGTATATAGGAAATTAGGAATCTCTATAGCTGCTGAACTGTAGCTCTCTGCTTGAGTAAATTCGGACATATAAAGCAGAGAGCTACAGATCCAAGCATTGTAAGAAATTTTGATTTACGCCAATATTTTTTTTGTCCCTACTTTAACATGTTTAAGTATTTATCTCGTGTAGTTAACCTTTCTGTTTCTTTTAGAATGGTATCCGATAATTTGTCATATATTGAACTCTTATTATGTTCCCCAAACGGAGTTATTATTTTTCTTTTTTTTCTTCTTTGTTCTCCGGTACTTTTTTTGTCCGCGAGTGTTCTCAGAAACTGTTCACCCAACTGAGCTAAAACCTTTTTAGGGTTAATAGGTGTGTAGTGTAGGTGTGCAACACGAATGTTATTTTGCGCTCATACGCATGCACGTGCGGGCGCGTGAAATGAGTGAAATGACGGATATACTTTATATAGCCATAACTTTAACATTTTTTGATGAAATATTTTAAAACTCATTTAATAAGGGTATATTAATAGTGTAGATAATGTGACACTGTCAAATTAGCACGAACTCACGCACATGCACGTGCGCTTCGCTCTGATTGGCTGCAACAAAAATCTCAATATCTTTTCTGTTTTTTGACGAAATGCTATGAAATTTAAAATATAGGCAAACTTTAGGATGTACTGCAATATGATATATAACAATTGTCAGTTAAACACGCGCATGCACGTGCGCTGCAATCTGATTGGCTTAACCTTTAAATGGCTATAACTTCCTTGTTTTTCAACGAAACATTATGGGACTTAGAACATAGGCAAACATAATGGACTCCCACAAGGAGGTATGGTCGTCATGCACATGCATGCACGTGCATGCACGTGTGCTTTGCTGTGATTCGCTGAAACAAAAATCACAATATCTTTTTTTAATTTTTGACGAAATGCTTTACAATTTTAAACGTAATCATGCATTAGGATGTCCTACAGTATGATAAATAACAGTTGTCGTGAAAACATGCGCATACACTTGCGCTGCAATCTGATTGGCTTAAACTTAAAATGGCTATAACTTCCTCGTTTTTCAACCAAACAGGATGGGATTTAGAACATAGGCAAACATAACAGACTCCTACAAGAAGATACAGTCGACATGCACATGTATGCACGTGCGTGCACGTGAAATGAGTAAAATTACAAATACACTAGATTAAAACGTATTTTTTATACTTTTGGATAAAACGCTGTAATTTCTAGTATATAAATAGTGTAGACAAGATGATATGGTCATTACACACATGCATTCAAATGCGCATGCGTGCAATGCATAAATTTGAATATACTGAATATACTTCTGGGAAAACATTGTTATAGTCTAAAAGGCATAGAGTTCGTCTTATTTAATGAAGCTTACAGGGAATAAGGCACCAAAAGGGAGTTGGGGAGCGTTTGGGGAACATCTGTAACGGTTCCCGTTACAATTAGCCCTAGTTTTTGATGCTTTATTTAAACAGTAAAATGATTTCTTTGTTTGTTATTACTGGAATTAACGGAAGCAGCTGTTGCAGAAAAAATACATAACCCGCGTAGGACCCCATTGGAAATAAGCATTTTATATTTTGCTTTCATGGGTTATCCTTGGCAACCTGTTATCTTCTATACACGAACCTGTGAAAGAGGCAAACAAAAAAAACAAGAAAGGAAAAAAAGATTAGGTTTTAGTTGTTATATGAATTTAAACCATTTAAACGTTTTTATTCTCTCTTCATTTGTTTTCTATCTATCTCTCACAATTCTCTCTCTCCTCCTCCTCTCTCTCTCTCTCTCTCTCTCTCTCTGATTCTCATCCACATTCATATTCAGTAAAGGTTTACAGTTGAAAACAAATTTCAGAATATGTTATCTTGGTGCTAAAAGTGTAATATAAACTGAAGAAAAATATACCAAGCCAGGTGAATTTTATTAGGAAAAGCTAAATTGTAAAAATCAGCCTATGTGATATTGCTAACTTTTTGTCATTTTGTTCCTACTCTTAAAATTCACCTGGCTTGGCATATTTTTCTAAAGTTTATATTACACTTTTAGCACCATGGTAACATATAACCCCTGGGAGTAGGATGGACCCACAATGGATCATCCAAGTTTTACATAGGAATATATACATTTTTTATGAAAACAAATGTTCTTGTCATGAACAACAAATCATGATTGGTCATATAAATATATATGGATCAAGCATCCTCAGGTAGAGTAGATTCAATTTGTTCCAGTTTTGAACCCTGGGAGTGGAGCCAAAATGTATATGGAAAAAAAGGTGCATCAAGTCAAAGAAATATGTATAAGCATTGTAAGTAAGTGTATGTTAAAGTTAAATCAAATTATAATCCCCCCTTCCTTTCAGGGGAAAGTTCGGCCGGACTATTTGTGCATTTAAGATTTTCAACACTTGATTGATTTTTGCTTTCTTTTTCTAGCTACATTGTTCCGGTGAACGCTATGACCCATGAGCTTCTTGTTTCCTTATATCCTCATACTCCACATGTATTCTAGTTAAAATTCCCAATATAATAGACAATTGGATAAAAAAATCTACATATCTTTTATTATTAAAACGTCATTTAAAGAAAGGAAATGTCCTACATCTACACCTACATTTATAAAATACATAAGCACAAGAAATTGTAGTTATACCCACGTTCCGAAGGAGAGGTGCTATATGTATACTGTTTTACTCTTGTTTGCCTGTGTACGTGTCCGTCCGTAACAATTTCTTTCACAGTTTTCATAGAACTACTCATCGCAGATGCTTCGAATTTTAGCACGCTCTTTGTTTAGGCATGCCATACGGTGGGACTCATTTTTGTTCAAATCTGATGTCTTCTTCCTGCTTATCCGTGCCCCTGTCCGAAACAATTTTTTGTCACAGTTTTCTCAGCAACTACTCATCGCATATGATTATAGAATTGTCATACTCTTTCCTTAGACATGCCAAATGGTGGGATTCATTCTTGTACGAATTCAGTGTAATCATGAAAGGGTATATCCATATCAGAGCGGGAGTATTACTAGTGAACATTTGCTCACAGACTTCTTGTTACTTATGCTTCAAAATGGTATTAGAGACACAAATAATTAAATCTTGACCTTTATTATTTATTATTTTTTTTTTGTAAATGTTACAAAAAATTAGTTTTTTGATTGTTATTTTTACATTATTAAACCCCGCACCGAAAGAGAGGGATATACTGTTTTACCCTTGTGTTTCTGTTCGTGTGTCTGTTCTTAACAAATTTTCGCCACAGTTTTCTCAGGAATAACTCATCAAAGACGATTGAAAATTTAGGACACTCTTTGTTCAGGCATGTCATATTTTGGGATTCATTTTTGTTCACAATATCAACTTCCTGTTTATCCGTGCATCTGTCCATAACAAAGTTTCATCACAGCTATTTTTTCAGCAACTATTCATCACAGATGATTGATTTTTTAGCATTAGGCATGCCATAACTTGTTTTTCATTTTTAGCTCATCTTCGCTGAAAGTTCCAGCGAGTTATCACAATTTGTCTGGAGTCCGCCTGTCTGTCTGTAAACTTTTCACAATTTCGACATATCCAGAACCACTGGGCCAATTTCAACCAAACTTGCCATAAGTGAAGGGAATTCAAGTAAATTCAAATGAAGGGCCTCATTCTCATACAATGGGAGATACTTAAGATATAGTGAACATTCGGTGGTAAGTTTTAAAAATCTTCCGCTCAGGAAAAAGTTTTTTAACGAATTTTTGCATTAGGAAAAATATTCAAAGACGCGATGGTCATATTTTATGAAAGCTTCCTCAAATACATAGTGTATTTTCAAATTTGTTCACATCATGACCCCGGGGGGTAGAGTCGGGCAACAACGAAAGATCAAACAGTGAAACTTATGAGAGGAAAAACCACAGTAAGTGAATGAAAAAATGTAGATTCAAGTTAATTCAAATCAATCCCACTTCTGCCTTTTAAGGGTTGGTCTGGACCGCTTATGCATTTAATAGAGTTTTACGTTTTTCATAGCCACAATGCTCAAGTGATGAAAATAAGTTATATATTTTTAAAGGGACAAACACAATAAGCCACCATAAATATTTTTATTCATCAATTCACAAGTTATAATTCTAACACTTTTGTTGCACTCCTGAGCAAGAGCATGGGACTCTTGAAAATAGAATTGTGAAGTGAAAATTAGATAAGAACTTGTTCTGTTGTTTCAGTGAATTTAAAATGGAATTACTTGAATTTTTTGACATTTTTTCTGGTTTATGTGTTTATGTTTAACGCTCATAAAAATCACAGAAATATAAAAACAATTGATTTGAAAAAAAATGGAAAAAAGAAAGGATAAAAAAAAATAAAGCTGACAATAATCCAATATTAAGTTATACAAATAGATCATTTTTAATTAATGAATACTTACTAAAAGGAATAGAAGTCTTTTTATAATATAACTTGAATCTTAAAAAAAAATGTGTTGCACTCCTGGCCATAGATAGGCATTGTAATCGATAAATCTATTTAGTAATTTTTCTTGGTGGGGAGAAAAGTAATGTGCTTCTGATATTATTAGGTATGTACATATACTTGAGTCTCATTTCTCTCATAAATGCTGCTCTTTTTGGGTTACTTGTCTCATTGTTTTATTGAACTCCTAGCTGATATGGTATATCTTATCTGGTTTTCCAGCAGTTATTATTTACAAAGCTCTCAATTTATATTGTTTTACACGATGGAAACCATGATCAATAAGCACTATTTTCTTCTCTCGCACATACAGTGTAAATATTTAGTAAAAAGGCGTTTGCAACACAAAATGTGTACATTCATGGTGAAGTTGTCATTTTAATTGAAAGTATAAAAAATCATCCTCCCCAAATGTTTGGATAGATATTCTGAAAAGTAATTAGGGTAATTTCTTAAATTATCTGGTTATAACGATAGTTTGCATTAATAATCGTCGTGATAAAATGTTCCATTATCTTCATCACTGCCATGGTCTTTACTCCAACCCCCGTAATTAAAACCATGTTTTTTTTCTTTCTCTTCATTAGGAAACCAATACCTTCTCTCTTCATTCCTACGGTCTACAAATTCTTTACTCCGACGATTTTTGACTTTCACTGGATCTTTACCTAGCAACCAATCATCTGTCTTGTCAAATTTTGGTTTAAATTTGTAACTTCTTTTGTCATGTTTCTGGTCTTTGGAATCTTCAGGTTTGAAGACAGAAAATTCGGGCAAATTTCCAAAATTCTTTTCTTGTGATATACCATTTATGTTACCCTTAAAGTCGTCAAGTTTGTATTCGGTATTTTTGGGAAAATTTCTCATATCCGTTAATGTTTTCCTATTGATTGCCTTAAAAAACGTAATTCCTGGATTTGCTCCAAGGTTGTTTGTTATTTGAGTTTTTATTTTCTCCAGGGTATCGATTTTTGTTTCTATGTTTCGTTTTGCGTTCTCAACTAACATAAGAACTCCTTGTTCTCTATTTCGCAGATCCTGCACTCTATGGTCTTTGATTGCTGAAATTTGAGAAATGACTTTTACTGTGTGATTACAAATTTGCCTCTCTACTTCGTTAGTTCTTTGTGATATTTGGGATATCTTTGCATTTTCCGTAGACAACAATTCTTTGTATTTAGGCAGTAATGTTGTTTCTATCTCCTCTTTCTCTTTTTCAAGCTCATCTTTTACTCTGCAGTATACTGAGGCCAGATTTTCTACTTTATGACCATTATGGGTTTCCATCAAACATTTGACACAAACAGGCTTCTGGCATGGACAGCAATAGCAGTCGAGCTTTTTTGTTGTGTGTTCCGGACAAAAGAGAAGTTCCATACCCTCCCCTTTATCCGAGATCAAGTGAATGATATCATGATTTCTCGTAATTTTCTTTTTCTTGTGTTCTATTGTACAAGTCTCGCACAGATAACCTGCGCATGTTTTGCAAAGATATTGTGCAGGGTTTTCCTCACAGTTTCCGCACTCAATATAGTGCTGAGCAGAAATTGAAGCTCCATATGTTGCCATTGATAGGATCAGTCTGTAAGAAATATAATTTTAACATTGCTTGAAACCTTTATTAATTAAATCTCTGTACTTTTGTTTATGCTCTTTAATCTTTTCAAACCAATAAAAAGATTATATGATAGAAATACTTCTTAAAAATTCTAATGGGTGTTTTTGTATGTTGCTGTTCAGATTTTGAAAAATTTAGAAATTGCCTTTTTGTAAGAGGAAATAACGATGACAATTAAATTTTGGTGGATTTGCTATGACTTAGGGCGTTACAACAATAATTCTTCTACTAATTTTAGACATTTTTAAATCCCATTAATTCTGAATTAAGTAGAAGCTTGCACAGAATAGAATGGGTATCATACTAGTAATTCACAACTGTGACAGTTTTATTCATATTTATTTCATATTCAATGTATGTAGAAGTCACTTTAATAGACAATTATTGATTGAATGTAAAAACGATTATAAAAAATGTATGAATAGGGCAAGATGTGAGTTTAGGCGATGTCAAGGTAGCCAGTTAGAATACCTTAGGCGCACTTCGCCTAGGGAGTTTTTTAATTTTTTTAAGAATCGTAAGCCACAAAATAATTGTAATCTTACTGTAGAAGATTTTTTCGAACATTTCAGAAATCTAGGTGTCTGTAAAGATGTTACATGTACTGATTTCTGGAATACAGAATATGATATGAATGCTGTATTTGATGAACTAGATGTCAATATAACTGTTAAAGAAGTTGTAGATGTTATAAACTGTCTAAAAAGCAGAAAATCGCCAGGAAAAGATAATTTGATAAATGAATATTTTAAATATATGTGTGAAGAATTAAGTCCACTTTTAACAAGAATATTTAATGTTATATTTGATACAGGTAATATTCCCCTCACGTGGTGTGAAGGTGAAATAGTACCTATTCTTAAAAAGGCTGATCCAGATGTAACAGATAATTACAGGGGGATTACCCTCATGAGTTGTATGTTAAAAATATTTACGACTATACTTAATAATAGACTTATGAAATGGTCCGAAAGTAACTTTATTTTAACGGATGCCCAGTTTGGATTCAGACCTGGGGTTGGTACCATAGATGCAATTTTTGCACTGCAAAGTATAATTGATAAACATCTTTCGAACGGGAAAAAACTCTACTGTTGTTTTGTGGACTTCCGTAAGGCATTTGATAGTATAAACAGAAATTATCTTTTTCAGAAGCTCATAACATTAGGGATTAAGGGCAAAATGTTTAACAGTATATGGTCTCTGTATAAGAATGTTAGAAGTTGTGTGAAATACAAAAACAATTTTAGTGACTTTTTCAAAGTAGAACAAGGAGTCCTTCAGGGAGAAGCACTGTCTCCACTACTTTTTTCTTTATATTTAAATGATTTTGAGAATGCTTTTATCAGGTCCAATTGTCAAGATATTAGTCTCCAAGAAGTGTCATTGTTTTTAATGTTATATGCAGATGACATGGTATTGTTTTCCGATTCTCCTGAGGGATTACAAAAAATGCTTGATGTGCTTTACTCATATTGTAATGATTGGAAATTATCTGTAAATGTAAGTAAAACTAAAATAGTAGTATTTAGAAAGTCTGGTCGATTGAATCCAAATATTAAATGGTTTTATAATGATGAGGAAGTTGAAGCTGTTAATCAGTTTACTTATCTTGGTCTCACTCTGACATATACAGGTAATTTTCATAAAGCTCAGTTAAAATTGGCTACTCAGGGGAGGAAATGTATGTTTAAACTTTTGAAGTCTATGAAAAATGTGCATTTTAATTATGTTACTCGTCTGTCTTTGTTTGATACTTATGTAAGTAGTATTTTGAATTATGCAAGTGAAATATGGGGATTCCATAAGGGTGATGCTATAGAGAAAATACATTTAGAATATCTCAAAATTATGTTGAAAGTGAGAAAAAATACATCGACATTGATGATTTATAATGAACTTGGTCGCTTACCTCTTTTTATTCAAAGAAAAGTTCGTATTATAAAGTTTTGGCTAAAACTATTGGAGTCAGAAAACTGTATATTGAAAAGTATTTATCAAGATATGCTTGAAAGAATTGAGACAAATCCTTGTACAAGATATAATTGGTTACTTAATGTAAAATACTTATTATTTTCAGTAGGATTTGGAGACGTTTGGTATTGTCAAAATATTACAAACAAAAATATATTTTTAAAAATTTTCAAACAAAGATTAACTGACTGTTTTCAACAAGAATGTGATGCTTTTTTTTCTTCGTCTTCAAAGTGTTTTGTGTATAGATATTTAACAAATAGACTGTGTATGCAATCCTATTTAATGAAACCAATTCCATCCAAGTATATTCAATTGATTACAAAATATAGATTAAGTGCACATTTATTAATGATTGAGAGGGGAAGATTCACTCATATTCCTAGGGAGAATAGATTTTGTTTTTGTTGTCAGATGGAGGTTGAAGATGAGTATCATTTTATTTTAAAATGTCCACTTTATCTTGAGTACAGAAAATTGTATATTAAAAAGTATTATTGGTATAGACCTAGCATGTATAAACTATTACAATTATTATCAACTGAAAATGTGAGTGAACTTTGTAATATAGGTAAATTCCTCCAAAAAGCAGAGGCACTTAGAGATTTACATCTGTAAACTGAGTTTTTTCCATGTTTTTGGAAATATTGTAGGTAACAAGCAGTATTAACTTAAAAGAAGTATATGTAAATATTTCATTTATGTATTTAATTAATTGTGTGCTTTACATCCTGTATCTTGTAATTATGTTATCTGATAAGTCATATGACTTAAGGAATAAATAAACACCATAAACACCATTCAATAATAATATAATAGAGTCTGTATGGTTGGTCTTAATTTCAAGCTCCATGATTTATCAAATGCCTTTTACATGCAAACGAGCCCATGCCAATATAAAAAAAAATAAAACCCAAAAGAGTTTCATAATTACCACAGTAGAATAAAATTGTCGCAATATTCATATTTACATGGAGCAACCGATGCTTAATTTGTTGGGATAATAAAACTCACTTTTATAACAAAGGAATCCAAAGTATGACGAAAATTACAGTGCATATCAATTCATCATTTCATGCTGTGATTGCAATCAATAATTTAAAAGAGTGCGTAAACTTAGCCTTCATATACTAGGCTTTCAAGTAAATGAGTTTATTCGTCGAAAAACATGAATTAAAACACTGAATGTTCAAACCACGACCCACAGCATAGTATAACAGTTAACAACGCTTGAGGACGGATGATATTCCATAAAGACAATGTATGTGTGGAGTTGCAGTGTTACATGTATTTGTATAAGACAGTTAGCATTGAATAACAAAATATTTTACCCCTCGAAAACCCATTAACGTTCCTCTTTATGATTTCTAACAGAAGCAACAATATAAACAAGAGGCCCACGGGCCTTATAGGTCACCTGAGCATTATGCAACAACTTTCCAGTTACAGTGTATTGAATTTGATTCATGTTTTAAACCAGATGCTATATGGCATTCACAATTTTGAAAGGGCACCATTGATCATCATAACAATAAACTTAGCAGTTGCTTAGCTTGGTTACTGAATACCCATACGCAGGGTAGGGGAACAAAAATGCACTCCAACTAATCAGTAATATTCATCAATAATCAGTAGTGCCCCTAACACTCTGACATAAACCCCTGACCCTAGTTTGCACAAATTTTTAAAAGGCACCCTTAAAATTGCCTATCAAAAAGTAAATAAATGTTTAATAAATACAAAGGACCAGATTTCAAACAATTCATTTTCAGTATATAAGTAGAGCCCCCACCCCTGACCCTGGGGCTTTGGGCAAGATTAGGGCCCTTCCTCATCATAACTATATATGTAGTTCATCTGCTTCATACCCAGAGACAGAGAAGAAAATTTTCGAAGATTTAATGTATTTTCACTATATAATCAATAGAGCCCCACCCTAACACCAGAACCCCAGACCCTGGGGCCTAGAGCCCCCACCCCTGACCCTGGGGCTTTGGGCAAGATTTGGGCCCTTCCTCATCATAACTATATATGTTGTTCACTTGCTTCAAACCCAGAGACAGAGAAGAAAATTTTCGAAGATTTAATGTATTTTCACTGTATAATCAATAGAGCCCCCCCCCCCCAACACCAGAACCCTTGATGATAGGGCCATTAAATTCACAATTTTGGTTGAGGCATGCTTGCTCATCATTACTATGCACTTAGTTAGTTTATATAATACCTAGGAGCAGAGAAGAAGATTTTCAAGGAATTTACATATTTTCACTATATAATCAATAGAGCCCCCCCCCCCCCCCACACACACACACACCAGGGGCCCGTTTTACAAAAGAACTTACGACTAAGACCAAAAACTTCAGATTGTTTTAATATTTTGAAAAATTAATATTTCCCTTTGAAATTGTTTGTGTAAAAATATCATACCACATTCCTTTTAAAAAGTTTAAAATAATTTTCGATATAATGTTTATTAAAAAGTTATACGAAGAATTAAATTTGGTCCTAAGTCGTATGTCCTTTTGTAAAACAGGCCCCAGAACCCTTGACCCTGGGGCCAAAAAATTCACAATCTTGGTTGAGGAACACTTTCTTATCATAACTATGTACTTAGTTAGTTTATTTAATACCTAGGAGCAGAGAAGAAGATTTTCAAAGAATTCATGTATTTTCACTTTATAAACAATAAAGTCCCCCCCCCCCCCACCAGAACCATTGATGCTGGGGCCATAAAATTCACAATTTTTGTAGAGGCACTCTTGCTCATCATAACTATGCACTTAGTTAGTTTATTTAATACCTAGGAGCAGAGAAGAAGATTTTCAAAGAATTCATGTAATTTCACTATATAATCAATAGAGCCCCACCCTAACACCAGAACCCCTGACCCTGGGGCCATAAAATTCACAATTTTGGTAGAGGCACTCTTGCTCATCATAACTATGTACTTAGTTGGTTTATTTAATACCCAGGAGAAGAGAAGAAGATTTTCAAAGAAATAATGCATTTTCACTATATACTTATTTAGCCCCGCCCTAGTACTAGAACCCCTGACCCTAGGGCCATGAATTTCACAATTTTGGTAGAGGACTCAATGCTGATTACAATCATGCAAATAGTTTGACTGCTTGATGTCTAGGAGTAAAGAAGAAGATTTTCAAAGATTGCACTAATTTTAGTGGTTTTGGCCCCACCCCTCAGGCCCCAGGGGGGCAGGGATCATGAAATTCACAATGTTTGTTCCCCTTCATCCATAGATGCTTTGTGCTAAATTTGGTTGAAATTGGTTCAGTGGTTGCAGAGAAGAAGCTGAAAATGTTCAAATGTTAACACACGACACACAACACACGACACAGGACAGACGACGACGGACGAAAACAGATAGCAATAGGTCACCTGAGTTTACTCAGGTGACTAAAAAGTATAGTTATATGCAATTTTGAAAGTGCATTTCAAAATGTAAAATATATATCAATGCTAACAGTACCTTGAAAGTGATGTATTTCCCAAGTATTTCTCCTATTTCAGTTTTGTTTTTATGAGTAATGATAAAACGAAAGTTAAAATACTGAGAAAAAAATAATCGATACCTGATATATTGCAGGGATCCAATGTTTGACAATATGTAGTCTTCAACTAACCAAATCATTTAAATTGCAAGGAAAGTCTATTATATATATGTTGCAATATTGCATACAAATTTGAAAAGAAGCAACACCAATGTTACCTAAACGGTTAAGTGACTCATTTTTTTCTCCTTGTTATGGCCTCAAGGATGTATGTAAGTGCAAAATCGAAAGCAGAATGATAAGAAAGTACACGGGAACCATATACAAAGCACACTCAACCAATAATTACTTTTTATACAGATGACTGTCATAAACATTGAAATTAAGTTACTGTTTATGCAGTATACATATAAAAGATAGAAAAATGTTCTATAGCAAAACTAACTTTGAACTTAGAGACAAAATATTAGAATTTAATAAGGCAAATTTAACAGCAAAAATACGATAAAGTATAAATTTTCCAATTAAAATAATATGTAATACCCAGATCTTTAATAGTAATGTAACAAATAGTTAAATATGAAAGTAAAATACCACAAGATGTATCCGATATCAGCTGGATGGTAATTTCATCTCTTAAACGGAATACGGCCCAATTTTGCTTAGTTTAAATGGTTAGTCATACCCAAGGTAAATTAAAGCTATTGTGTGAAAGAATGTGGGTGGTTTCGCTCCGATTACGTGTTCGCTCCGAGTGGATTCGCCCCACGTGAGTTTGCGCCACTGTATTACTGAAGATACCGGCCGCTATATGAAAATAAAGATAATTAAAATTATTATATAGCATATAAATTGGAGATCGTTGATCAAAGAGATTCCAATGGCAGGTATAATGTCCTATGATATCCTTAATATGATTAGTTAAAAACACTGAATATTCAGACAACGCCCCACAGCATAGTATAACAGTTAACATTGCTTGAGGACGGATAAAATTCCATAAAGACAATGTCTGTGTGGATGTGCAGTGTTACATGTATTTTTATTAGATAGTATTAAATAACGAAAACAACATATGTAGATGAGTGAAACATTCAAAATGTTTTACCCCTTGAAAAGCCCATTAACGTTCTGATTTCTACAGAAACAGCAATATAAAAAAAGTATATAGATATGTAATTTTGAAAGAGCATTTCAAAATGTAAAATATATATTAATGCAATAAGTACCTTGATAATGATGTATTTCCCCAGTATTTTTAACAAAAACCTGAAGGCTTATTCGAAGTTCGAAATACGAGATTTGAAATTTGAGTTTCGAGATTCAAGATCCAGATTAACCAATCAAAAGCGGGTTCAACATTTGATTACTCCCCTTTATTATGGTTTTACTATCAAGAAATCGTCATTTGATTAAATTACAATGCAAGAAAGAGTGTTATATATATATAATTTTATAAGGAAATATAAATAATCATTGGATTTTTGATCAGCAAGAGAATCTTCAATTTATATTTTGGCTTCTTTAATATTAAACAGAATGCATTTATATATCAGGAGTATATAATTTTTTATTGCATACTTTGTTTACTGGTTTGATGACATATAAATAAAGATGTAACTAAGTGTCAAGTGTCTAAAGATTAACAATAACCCCTACCCATCCCAGCGTTTACTAATAAACAAATATTTTCTGAACTGGACTGCTAAAAATGAATGTAATAATTCAAATGTTGGAGCGAAGTGACTATTCTGGACCAAACAACTTCTAGGTCATTGTGCGCCACAACATAGCTACGGTGGAACGTTTGTGTAATAAATGTAGTTTTACTCGAAATTTATTCGTCTCAAATGTAAATATAAGTAATAAACAACAATTTCCAATCTGAGTATATTCATATGGAGCCGAAAAATCCGTAAAAAGTATTTCTCTCTCTTAGTAAACGATCAAAACATTGTTTTTTTTAAATATCATTTTGTATCTTTATGTGACAAATTTACAATATGCGAAATTGAGAAAAAAATTAAATATAAGAAGCATATAAAATTATGAAATATATCCCAAAAAATTAATGACAAGATGTGTTTGTGAAACATTGTGCCCCCGGCGGCAACAGAGTTCGTAAAAGCTATTCTTAGCATAAAGGTTACAGTCAATGTCACAAGGTCATTGACCTCTGTGTCGTTTGAAAGCACTTAATTAGTGAAGAAGGCATACCAAATATAAAGTATCTATCTTCTATGGTTCAAAAGTTATACCGAAAGTTCGAAAAATCTATTTTTAGCATACAGGTCACAGTCAAGGTCTAAAGCTCATTGCTTTTGGTGTCAGTTGAAAGTGCTTATTTAGTGGAGTATGTATTTAAAATATGAAGTCTCTATCTCGATCTGTTCAAAATTATGGCAAAGGTTAAAGTTGATAACAAATAGAATAAAAGAAGGTCAAACTCCAAGGTCAAGAGGTCAAATTTGGTGTACCAAAAGAAAGGTCATCTCATAAGTAACACACCTATGAATTATGAAAGCCATAGCCCCAACCACTCAATAGTTATGTTGGGGGACAAACAAACAGACAGACAGACAGGACGAAAACAATATACCCCCGATCTTTTGATCCGAGGGCATCAAAATAGAGAAAATTCGGATAAAAAAATATCCGTTTTAGTCAATTTTTTATGTCAATTTTGTATCATCTCATAGGTTTTTTATGGTAGTATCTTTATTCAAAAAGCAAACCATTCTATCTGGTAAAATACAATTAAAGATCACAAAATTGGCAACAACATTTTTTAAAATAATTATCTATGTCCAGGAAGAAGGTAATTTCTGTAACCCGACCTTTTGTATGACGTATTAAGGTCAAACTTAATTTCACTGATACAACGTACTGATATTGTCTTTTTGATTCTGTGAAGATTTCATAAGTTTCTATTTGTTTTAGAAACAAGGAATATGAGAACAACCCTACATTATAAGTTCCCGATCTAACTAAAGATTTGAGCCAAAAACCCCTTAAAAAAATTTCGTTGTAAACGATTAATGCTTTTCGTTTTTATCATCTTTATTTGACAACTTAAGCATATGTGAAACTAAGAAAAAATTAAATATAAGGAGCATATAAAAATAAATAATATACCATGAAAAAAATTCAAGAAGAAGTAGAGAAAAATAAAATTATTTGATATCCATTTTAATTGAATTATTTGTGCCAATTTGGTGATATCATCTTATATGCCCTATATGGTAGTATCTCTTTATGTAAAAAGAAAAACATTCAATGTTTTCAAATACAAGCAGAGATTGCAGTACTTACAAATATAATAAATTTAACAGGTTGCGTAAATGAATAGTTTTGTATTTAAAACTATATATAAGAGTTAAACATAACATATACAACCAATATTTGTGTTTTTTTTTGAATAATTTAACGAAAATATACTACACGTTTACGACATATCGTCCAGGTAAAATGTGAACACTCTTCTGTCACGCATGGCTATCACGGCACACTGGATAAAGCAAGATATTTCAACGAAAATGCCGCAATACAGGAAGAATGTTCAGTTGCATACGAATCGTTGGACAGAAATTCATCTTAATTTACACCCTTGTTATGATGTGAGCCGATATTTAGGGGATGAGACTGGGCACAATTATCATGATGACAACATACCAGAACCTAAAGAAAGTGATATTTCATTAATGACCTATTCAAACTTCTTGAGGTATATTTTGAGGATATTACAACAGTGGCCCTTCGGGGAAAATTCACTGTATCCGAAAATTCGATTTGAAAATGTCTTCTGAAGTAAGGCATTGGATGACTTGAAAGGTTGATGTTAGATTGATAAAAAAAAATAATGAAACATACACATACAGAGGCAACTACATGTAATTATCAGTTAATAGTTACAATTTTAATATTTCAGATACAATAATTTCATATGCATAGATGCCATGAAATAATTAGTTTCAACGAATTTTGAAAAACTTATTTGTTTTATGAAATCTGACGACAGGAAAATTGCGTTAACAGCATCTGACTGTAATGTAACACTATGACAAATAGGTGAGTCTTGGTGCAGAACTAGTAAATAAGATTTATGAAGTCCCACACGTGCACTCGGTTGCCATGAAGCCGGATCCATTGAATTTGGCAACTTTGGGCCCCTTCTGACTAAATGAATGCATGAAAATTGTGGAAATGTTAATTAATATTCATCGATATCTAATACAATCTAAGAAAAAGCAATGGATCGTTTGACATTTCATTAAAGTTCGAAATAATACTTTAAATGCCCCGGATTTTTTATTTGGTAACATGGTTATTTATTTATATGTCCGTTTGTCACACAGGTATAAAAACTTATTTGTTCACTTGCTACTATTGGACTTTAACAAGAAGCACTGGCTTTTACAGTTGATTGTTTACTTGGACATTTAAACATTCACATCTACGGAGGTAAAGAATCGATAATGGAAAAGAAAACCTTTCAAGTGGTCATGGTAATGGTGGTAGGGGCAGTTGTATGAGAAGGACTAAATTTGAGGGGAGGATGGTTGTCGTTTTCTTCAACAACTGAACTGTGCTTTGAAATAGCCTGTTATTTTCGTTGAATTAAATGTTGAGCTAAACCATTATCTCGTAATAGAGCATCCATACACTGTGCTAGTGTGAGAGTAAACTGTAAAAGTCAGCGCTTCTCGTAAAAGTCCAATAATGTATTGCATTATTTTAGTTAAAGGTTTTACTGACGATAAGATACAGAGAAAATTAAGGTGTTCAGAAAAAAATATACTTTTATCTTAAGAACAATATCGATAAAAATATTGATGTACATATATTGATTGATTGATTGATTGTATTATTGTTAACGTAGAACCGACGTCGTATGACATCATAACTAGTGAATGTGTTTAGCCTGTGCTAGATCCATTATGACGTCATAATCAATTCAATGGCACTTTTTCCCGTACTTTACAGCTTCAATAGAAATGGTAGAAATAACTGCATTTTTACATTCACAGAATTCAATATAAAATCATGCCGAAATAATCTTAATTCAATTCATATATTTTTTGGTTTATAATACTTAATGACTATATATTTCTAAAATTAGATAAATGTGCAGGCACCTTTCATTTATTAGATCTTTACCTTTGTTTAAAAGTTGACAAATTCAAGACTACGTTGTGTAATGAAATCACAATGTATACAACTTACTGTAATAATTTGAATGGAATGCAGCCATTTTGAAACAATGCAAAAATCCTAATAAATCTTCAATTGCCTACTAAATAGTGTAATACAATGTATCTTTATGAAATGTGTCTAAGTCAAAGATGTACGTGTTGAGGATCGTTTGTACATTTTTGTGATATCTATAATGAATTTATCATATGTGCATTCCTTTTCATAACTATTTGTTACTTATTCATATTCTTAGTGTTTGATTACATTTTTTTCTATTAAATATGATCATTTCAATTTAAAAGTACAATTTTGATAATTATTTTCAA